TCTTGCCCAATAGCTGTTGAAGTAGGACAAATGCTTTTATGTTTTCCTGAAATGATTCCTTTTGGCTCTTTTTTTGTACTCTCTTTGAAGAGTACCTTTTTTAAAAAATCACTACTTTAAAAGAGACATTTAGAAAGTACGTATAAAAGAACCATGAAAGAAATAATAGACTTGTGGGAGTGGAAGAGAGGATTTCTAAACTACGTAGAAAGAATCATTCTCCTTTAGACTTTTCAGATTTAAGTGAGTGACTTTATTACACAAATGTGCCCTTCGCTATTCTGAGAAAGCTGAGATGTATCACTACCTATTAAAAAGTTGGGGGGGGGCGTTGTTCCTTCATCATTAAAACTCTATATTCTTTCTCCCATGTCACAGTTTTTGTAATCCTTTCCCACCTGTATTACACTTGGAATAATCCTTCTCATTCCTTGTCACATGCGCATTAAACCTCTTTTAAATCACAGACTGAGAGCTTCTAAAACAAGCATTTCATTTTTTGTTGCTGTAAGTGTGATGACCATTGTCAAATCACTATTAAAAATCTCATGCATATACCGATCAGGAAGTTATTCTTGGAGTTCTCTTCATAAATTACTGTACTTGATCAACCATAACATGTAATGCTGGCACTGCCTCTCAGTTCACTGCAGCCTTTGTTACTCATCTGGAGTCAAACTATTACCCTGTAAATAACACAGGACATAGCTCGGTTTTTCAGAAATACCTATGAAAGTGCTATGAATTTGTTCTTATTGAAGCCTTTTCAAGTATTCTCAGTGGCAAATAATATTAATCCTCTCAAGAAACAAAAAAAGCTGGAAAACCAGCCCAGAATGCCACTTCAAAAGCACCTTTTTTTAATCAGAAATTTGGATGACATTTTGCTTTTTTAGGATTGTAGAAAAACCTTTATATAGAAAGGACTAATTTGCTGAAATTTTGATTTGTAACTTTGAGGAACACTATGGCTTGTTTTTCTTCAAATATTGCAAGAAACTGGAAAGCGCTCAAGTTTATAGTCAGAAGAGTGATTTGCCTTCTTTCTCATGGAAGTCCTGTTGATAAAGTTTGCTTTGCATCATTTTATTAAACCTTGGTGTGACAGCATCTGGGTGCTATATACACTTCCCAGACTTTAAAAAAATAACAATTCAGATTAAGAAAAGATTTGGGTAATTATTGGTCTCCAGTACGGGAAGTTAATCCTGTTCTCAGACATACTCTTTAGTGTGCTGCATCCGTGCTTCACTAAATAGTACGCGCATGTGGAAGGACAGACTCTGACTCAATGAAGCTGCAAGAGTTAGGAGAGGGTTTAAGTACGCTACCAGTAGAATATGTATGACAAACAAGTCAGGAAGATTAAAACTATAGTATATACTTTTAGAAACTTGACAAATGTCTTAATTGACTAAATACTGTTATCTCTGTAATTGCAATTTTCTAGGTATTTCCTTTATTAAATGTTGTGACATTTAAAGAATACAACATAAAATATAGTCTTACCTAATTATCTAAAGTGAGCTTTTTAGTGTGGCTTTTTAAGAAAGTTAAGTTCTTGCGAGCATGTTGTTAGCGCGTTAATACCTTCTCGTGTCATTTCTGTCTTCTCAAGCAGTTTTTAACCTGCTGATGAGCTTCAAATACATTTAAAAGAAGGGTTCAGATCTCAAAGTTATTAGACTTCTTTAAGTTTCAGAAACACTCTTGGCTGGATAAAGGAGAGACACAAATTAGTGGTGCAGTTCAGCTCAATAGATTTTTCTGCTTTGTCTTTTTGTCCAGCTGGTAGATAGAGGACACAGGAACAACTGGGGGTTCCCTTCTCTGAGGAGGCTTGTGGATTAAAACAGATATCAAAAATGAATGTGATGGATATAGCTGGGATATTTATGGAAAGGAATGTGCAGGAACATAGGAACAGAAATCCCTTGAAATTCAGGTTTGAATAGTCAGAAGTTTTTAAGCAACCAGCATAAACCGCTAGAGATACCAGGGACGCTGTGAGATAAGTTTACAAGACCCATTGAAAGTGCTTTTAAAGTTAACTTCTGATATACTTCTTGTCTCATATAAATAATATTACCCTTAATTACATTGCTGAAGTAATTCTCTTGGCCATTCCAGTGCCTTCACCGAGTCCCTCTTCAGAGACTTTTCCCACAGCCTGAAGCAGACAGTTCTTCTCTGCGCTGACTCGAGATCTTCCCCCAGGTAGTCCCAAGCTAACATAGATCACCAGCCACAGTCCATATGGACCCTCTCCATACTGTGTCAGCATTTCCAGTCCTAATCTCCATTTCCTCTTTGCTTCCCATGCCCAACACTGTGGAGCAACCACTTTACTGCCTCATTTGAGTCATTCTTCAAAACTCACTCCTTCCATGGGGCATACCATAAAGCCAAAGCCAGCAAGACTTGGGCTGGTGACAGGCTGTCCCTGCTGCTGCTGACTGCCGGAGAATCCTGTGGTCACTCCCAGAGTTATTTGCTACCTCATTTGACCTACATCCCTTAAGCCCATTTGTTTGCCTCATCCCCTAACTACACCTTGCCTTTGAGAGTGGCTGTACTGCTCTCCAGAGAAGTAATTACAGCGTGTACAGTCATACCAGTCTCAGAGGAGAGGCAGTGGGGCTCCTGGCCCGCGTTACTTCTTTAGGGTGTCTGTTCTGCCACACACTCTGTGTTGTCCTGTTTTTATTTTGCCTCTTACCTGAGCTACATTAAAAGAGTTTTAATTATGTCTACAGCTCCAGTCCAAGTGTAGAAATATTTTTGGACAATAAACTGCTTGAGTAAGGACTACCAGTTGTTATGGGTCTTTGTCAGGAGCCACGACATGGGGCTGTAAAACATTGTCTCACAAAATTTTCCTTCTAGTATATAAGCGCTGTTTAGACTGTGCATGAAATGTTGTTCTTGCTGCTGACTCTGAGGAACAGGGGCAAACCAAAAGCTTGTCCAGGTCTGGGACAGAAAGACAGCCAGGGAACCAAGCACAAGCATCTGAAAGAGCTTGAGCACATTGGAAAGTACTTCTTTTCCAGCATTCATGTCTTCAAGCTTAACAAAGCAAACCACACTTAGGAAAATATGCTGATGAGAAATTTGTGTTTGGCCCCACAAACGCAACGCGGCCCCCGACGAATGTAAATACGACATTGAAATACAGTTAGATGTTACGGATTGTTCAGTTACAAAACAACCAACTAGCTGCTAAATACACTTTGCTGGGGTGAAAGAGAGTGGCAGGTGATCTGAGGCTGTTTTTTTCAAATACTTCGGGCTTACTAGGAGGCTCCGTTATGCCGTGTGAGGAGGTGGACTGTTTAACCCGCAGATGATGACTGGGAGAATAAACTCGCGTTTGCGAAGTGGGGGGGTAGAAGTGGTACCGGTGCCGTCCAACGGGTTGTGCTCCG